GCCCTGCGCCGTCCCCCTGCGAGTGCGGACACGGAGGTGGAGACGTGGGCGGCGGTTAAGGGCTCCCATTCAGCGCGCAGAACCCTCGGATTCGGGGGGGTCGGGGTGCGGGGTGGACGAAGGCGCCTGTTGGAGTTTGTGATCAAACAAGTATTTTGACAGCGTGAGGTGGTGGCATAAGAGCTTACGTTTAGGGGACACGGGGTGAGTTTTCTTGGCAGCTTTTCTGTAAATATAAAGTTGTTCCAAAATTAAAAAAAAATTAAATATTTTTTAGCGTGCTGTGTTTCTGGGTGAGTAGGTTAGCTAATTAAGTGCGGAATATAGATCTTGAGTAGGTTCCTCTTTTGTCGGACTTGCATGTGGATATTCTGGGTTTTTCTGAATTATCTCTTAAGGGACGTATGGATGAGAGGACTCCCCCAGGGCAGTGATGAGCCCCAAGGACTAGCCATGGCGTGCCCTGTGAGAAAGGGGACCAAGGCGGCCGGGTTCATGGTTTTCTTAACATCTACGTTTGGATAAGGCAGGTTTCCAAAGCCAGAATTTTGGCCTTGGGCACATTTTGGAAATGTGAGGCACCGTCAGGGTGATCACACACACACACACACACACGACCATTCGCAAACACCATTTCATTTTCCGTGGCTTCTGCACATGTGGGCTGGGCGTGGGAGAAGGGAAGCTGAGAAACGAGCTCTATGGGAATGGAGCGCGCCAGGTGCCGGCCTGATCTGTTGGAAGTGGCTATTAACACTGTTAATAACAGCTTAGCGCAGTGGTTCCCAACCTTGGCTGCACATTAGAGTCACCTGGGAATCTTTCTAAAATCCTGATTTCTGGGCCCCATCCTCCGGAAATGCTGTTTCTTTGTTACTCATGTTGTGGCCCCACCCCATCACACAGAAACAGCATTTCCGGAGGATGAGGCCCAGAAATCAGGATTTTAGAAAGATTCCCCGGTGACTCTAACGTGCAGCCAAGGTTCGGAACCACTGGCTTAGCAGGAGCACCAGCAAGTCATCCCCAGACACCCTGGCTCCCTGGCTGGTTGCTCTGCGCCGATGGCCCAGCGGATGCCCCCTCCGTACGCGGCTTTCTTCCCTCTCTCTCCAAAACAGCCCCTGGTGTTCATTTTGTGTTAAAAGAGTACACCACCGCGAGACTTCTTTTTCTACCAGATACAAGCGCCCATGACTTTATGCCCAGACATGAGTAAAAACATTGGCTTTGAAATAAGACCTAATTTCGACTGAGGATAAATTAAGTTGTTGGATTTCCCCCCACTTCCCTTTTCAAAGGTGTTTCCCTGTTTTAAAAATCTGTATCTGTTTTTAAAGGGCCTGGGTGGTTGCCAAGCCCCAACCTTTGTTGATGACTTGAAAAGATAATCAGTCTTTTCTGCATTCACTTTTAGAGTAGGTAGGTCACCTTTAGGCAATTTACATATTTCATTTGCGTGTTGCAATGAGACCTTAATTTTGCTTGTTAGAATAGTGATCGTTCAGAGGAGTTCTGAACACTTTAATTTTTTTCCCCTTAAATAAACAAAACAACACACTTCATTTGGCTGGAGTGAGTGTTCCACTTTTTCTCTTTATTGACTTATTAAATAGTGCCAACTGCACAGTTGTTGAGACTGTTTGCATTTCAAGTTTTTAAGTCAGTCATGTTTGCTTTAGTCTCTTAAATCAAATCTCCTATAAGAGTTTACTAAGACCTACGTTGATTTTCTCTGGATTTTTTTCCCCACCAAACTACAGTGTTAAGATGAAACAGGTCTCGCCCCAAGTGGAAACCCGGTAAAGATTTTTAAAAACCAGACTTCCCCTCCTGTTTTCTTAAAAACCTTTCTGTTCAGTGGCTTCATTTATTGTTGTAGATTCTTAAGCGTTTATCTCTAAGATAAACAGTTAACTCCCATGCCAGAAAATTATGCCTGCTTATTGATTTACAGTCCCCTTTGGCACATTCCATGCTCAATCTGCGGGTAATCAGTAGAATATTTCCTCTCATGTCCCCGGGAGGATTAAACGGAGTGGTATCCCTTTTTCCTCCCGCCCCTTCCTCCTCTGTCTGGCGGTAGGAGAGTTTTTAAGGCACGGCCTCAGCAGGAGAAGGAGGCAGTAACATGTAGCGGCATGATGCCTGCACCGTACATATCCTCTCGAAGAGGGTCCGGCCTGATTGCGTTTCTGAACAGAATCAGCGCTCTGTTTTGCCTCGCTTGGTGTCCTTGGCTTTTGCTTCTCTGAGTGTTTGAATGGCCTGGATTTCCTTGGAGGATCTCTTTTCCCTGCGACAGAGTATATACGCCCTGGGTCCCACGTGTGGGTTAGCTGCAGCTCGCCTGGCTGCCCAAATACCTTCTATCTTCCTGGGTGACCCATTGGCCTGCAACTAAGTGGGCTGTCTTCTGGTCTTGTCATATATATATTATTGATTTCAGAGAGGAAGGGAGAGGGAGAGAGAGAGAGAAACATCAGTGTGAGAGAGTCATTGATCGGTTGCGCCTACACTGGAGATCGAGCCCGCAACCCCGGCATGTGCCCTGACCGGGATTGAACCGGGACCCCCTGGTTCATAGGTCAGCTCTCAACCACTGAGCCACGCCGGCCTGGCCGGGCTTCTGGCCTTGTCTTAATTTACTTGATTGGGTTATTGGCGAAACAATGGACTCTTTTATTGGGACATCAGTGGATTGGTTGTTTGGTTCTTTAAAAGTTAGCTTATGGCGCCTTGCAATAGAAATCTGTACCTACGTTTGTTTTCTTAATGTCTCTGAAGCAAACGGCCGGTGTTGGTTCTTCAGAATGAAGCGCTGTACCCGCAGCGGCGCTCCTACACCAGCGAGGACGAGGCCTGGAAGTCCTTCCTGGAGAACCCGCTCACCGCAGCCACCAAGGCGATGATGAGCATCAACGGCGACGAGGACAGCGCGGCCGCCCTGGGCTTGCTCTATGACTACTACAAGGTCGGTGCGCCCCCCGGTGCGCCCCCCTCACCCCTAACGACAGCGCCGCCCCCCTCACCCCTAACCACAGTGCCGCCCCCGTCACCCCTAACGACAGCGCGTGCGCCTGGCTCAGCGGCACCAAAACAGTCATTTGCTGGAGGATGTCGTGCAGGTTGCTTCTTAGGGACTATAAAGAGTTTAATGAGGGCGTTGAGTTACTGCGGCTCAGAGCTGAGCCTCTCCGATCCTAGAACAAAGGGCTGTTTCCAGACGGGAGGGGTGGCCGTCCGTCCCTCGCTCTCTGAAGGGAAGCCGTGTGAAGGAAGGTGGCGGGTGTCTCACTGAGAGGAACACTGACCGGAGGCTTCCTGTCAGAGCGCAGCGTTCATTCCGACGGAACCGAAGTGATTTCCTTTTCCCGAAATGGGTTATAGAAAGCCTTCGATTGGATTTGGTTTAGTTGTAGGACTCACGAAAAACAAATGACATTTTCTAGTCTTGGACTTCCTAGTCCTCGGATCAGGTTGTATTTTGTTTCCTGTTTCTAGAGATTTGGATGAGTCTTAATTAAATAGAGTCTGTCCTCTGCCTGGAGTTTCATACGGTTTTATCTTATTTTTTATTTAAATATATTTTTATTGATTTCAGAGAGGAAGGGAGAGGGAGAGAGAGGTAGAAACATCAGTGATTGAGGGAGAATCATGGATCGGCTGCCTCCTGCACGCCCCACACTGGAGATCGAGCCGGCAACCTGGGCCTGTCCCCTGTTCGAACCACGACCTCCTGGTTCATAGGTTGATGCTCAACCCCTGAGCCACGCCGGCCGGGCGACACCACTGCTCTGTATCACCCTCCTGTCCTAGCAGCTCTCGCTGCCACTCACTGATCCCCTGGGCTCACTGACCCCACACTGTGTATGTTACTCTGAGGCCTCCAGAACCCCAGCAGCCTATGCGGCATTACCCCCAGTCTGCAGATGAGAAAACTGAAGCTCTCAGGTCACACCCTAGTGTGTGCTGCAGCCAGGTTTCCAGGCCTGGGCTGGTTCGTGCCAGAGTGATCCTCTTCGGTGTGCCGTGCCGTCTCCCGGGGGATGCGCTGTGCTTGCCGATTCACTTGGCCGTTCTTCTTTCTGACCAATAGCAGATACTCGGGGGCGGCTACCGAGGACACTTGATTTTTGCCATCATTTCGTTTTGAAAACTACCAAACCCATAGAAAGCTTAAAATAACAGGGTCATTCGCTCCTTAATGCTTCACCTGGTGGACCAGTTGCCCGCCTTCTGTTACATTCTGGCTGTTTCCTTTCCCGAATATAAGAGATGCGGAGGGGAAAGCAAAGAAGATAGTGTGATTATCAAAGTTAGGGTGGGGCCTGCACAAAGGATTTCATTACTTTCTGGTGTGAGGTCATGTGGTCAGCCTGTGTTTCAGGGAGGAGGCCAGCATTTTTCTCTCTGACTGTGAATGGAACTTATGGAGTAACTAATGATGCTGGGAGAACCCTTGTCTGGGCAGCGTAGCCACGAAGGGTCGCCTTGAAGTGGAACCTATTATGTAATCTGTTCTTTGATGGCTTGTTTTATTGACGCGGTCAGTGTAAAAGCCATACGTTCCTACGTGCTAATTATGAAGTTTGAAGTTACATATTTATAACTGAAACTTCTGCGAGTGCCAGGAAGACTGATGCCATGATACTAGTGGCGGTGGCCGCGCGCGCGGGTGTGTGTGTGTGTGTGTGTGTGTGTGTGTGCTTTAAATAAAGGTCCTAAGCGTATTCTACGTTCGAGGAGGAGAAAAGCTTTCGTGTCTGCGCGTTAAGGGAGACCGTCTTCATAGTGCTCGGGGTCCAGCCGCTTTTGACAGGTGTCGGGCGCTTTGTTTTGAAATGAACTGACTGCTTCATTTTTTTAAGTGTAACCATCAGTCATTCTTACATAACAGCGTTGGTAAAGCTTTAAAAGCATATTATTAATGCAGGAAACAATCCTTTTTTCCCTTCAAAGCTAAAATAAGTTTCAAACATCTTAGCCATGTTGGAGTGCGCGGTGAGAGGAAGTCTCAGTGGGTTGGTGTCTGCAGTCCTCCCAGCAATGTTTGCCCGCGGTGAAAGCCGGTGCGAGAAGAGCAGAATCGAAAAAGGAATAGCCCTGGCCGGTTTGGCTCAGTGGATTGAGCGTTAGTCTGTGAACCAAAAGGTCCCGGGTTCGATTCTGGTCGAGGACACGTACCTTGGTTGCAGGCTCCTCCCCGGCCCAGGCCCTGGTCAGGGCGTGTGCAGGAGGCAACCCATCGATGTGTGTCTCTCACATCGACGTTTCTCTCTGTCTTTCCCTCTCTCTTCCACTCTCCCTAAAAATCAATAGAAAAATATCCTCTGGTGAGGATTAATAACAACAGTAACAAAAAGAACAGAGTAAACTGGGTTCGATTTGTCCTCTGGGTAACGGACGTGATCACCCCGAAGTGTCTAAGGAAACGATCACGCGAAGCCAGCCTTTGGCTCTTGGGAGGCGCCGCTAACGTGACCGACCCTTTGCTTTGACGTTCGATCTGAAAGGAAGAGCAGCAGCGAGGAGCAGCGAGAACGCTGACAGCCCCGTGTGTTTTCAGTAGCTTCCCGTCCGTTACGTTATGCCGGTCAGCGGATAAAACCGGGCCAGCGGTATTCCTTCTAAGAGGTGAACCCACACGCGGGCCGTAGACGTGTGACCCCTGAGTCTGTTGGGCAGCGAAGCAGTTGGCTTTTCCGTATCCACCCGGCGAGCGAAGGGACGCTCTGGGGGCAGACACTGCCCGCTCCTCCTTCCCCCCGAGCCTGGGGGTGGGGAGGCTGAAGGAGGCTGTGCCTACACTTCACGGAGTAAGGACTGACTCTTGTCACGTGTCCCTATCTCAGGTTCCAAGAGAGAGACGGTCATCCACAGCCAAGGCCGATGGTGAGCACCCGGAGGCAGATCACAGCAAAAGGTAATGTCTGCTGAGAGCACGAAGCCGTTCTCTGGAGAAGTGCCGGCGTCTGTGCAAACGAGACGAGCGTTTGTTAAATGAACAGGCGCAAGTGGAAGGGACGGGCGAGCTGGGCCCTGAATGTCTGCGTTCAGGTGTCCTCACCGGCTCGCCTCTCACCAGGTGTGCTCCGCCGCCCGGGAAGGTACCAGCTCCTGTGGGGGTGGTGCCTTTCTCCTCCAAAGGAGTGTTTTTCGTACCAACACGAGTGTTTGCTTATTTGTCTTGGATGTTCTCTCAGAAGGATGTGGCTTACAGCAATGCGGCGGGGGGAGGGGGGCCATTAAAAACATGGAGCACCAACGGTCTGAACAACTTAATAGTAAATTCTTAAAATAGTAAATTAAGCAAAACTTAATAGTAAATTCGACTGTATTTTAAACTCCTATTGAAGTTATTTTTAAAAATGTTTTAGGTTAAAACTTTCAGGAAATTAAATTAAGGCTTGATGTTGTAGCCATAAAAAATTTTTAAATGTACCTTTAAAATTGCCCTGTGTTTGCCCCAGCTGGTGTGGCTCATTGGGTAGAGGGTTGGCCCACATACTGAAGGGTCCCTGGTTCAATTCTGGTCAAAGGCACGTACCTCGGTTGCAGGCTCCATCCCCAGCCCTGGTTGGGGTATGTGTGGGAGGCAACCAATTGGTGTTTCTCTCTCTCTCTCTCTCTCTCTCTCTCTCTCTCTCTCTCGCTCCCTTCCGCTTTCTCTAAAAATCAGTAGAAAAATATCCTCGGGTGAAGGTTAAAATTTTTAAAACATTAAAAATTGCCCTGTGTCCTATTAGTAATAAAGGAATAGAACATTTTTAGAGAAAGAATGCGCACTCGGAACCCCACTGTGCTGATGGAGTCTGTTTACCCTTTGGTCTGCATGCACATTTTATGTGGTCGTGATTGTAGTTACAGATAGCATTTGGTAGTAAGCATTTTTCTACTTAGTATTTTCCATGTTGCTGTTTTAATCTTCATAATTACCCCTTGGCAAAGGGCTTATGGCTTTTATTTTTACTTTTTATTATGGGAATTTTCAAACAGCAAAAGTAGAGAAATACTATAAACCCACACATACCATTATGTCGGAACAGTTACCAACATAATTCCTCTTGTTTAATCTACTCTTGTCTTCTTCAACTTTTTTTAAAATCATTTTTTTATTTCAGAGAGAGGAAGAGAAACATCAGGGGTGTATGCGAGGCAACCGATCGATGTTCCTCTCTTACATCGATGTGTTGTTTTTTCTCTCTCTCCCTCCCTTCCTCTCTGTCTCTAAAATCAATAAAAATATACCTACCTGGCCAGGGTGGCTCAGTGATTGAGCGTTGACCCAAGAACCAGGAGGTCAGGTTTTGATTCCCAGTCAGGGCACTTGCCTGGGCTGCAGGCTCGATCCCCAGTAGGAGGGTGCAGGAGGCAGCCAGTCAGTGACTCTCTCATCATTGATATTTCTATCTCTATAGCCCTCTCCCTTCCTCTCTGAAATAAAAATATATATATTTAAAAACAAACAACAACACAAACAGATCCTCAGGTGACAATTTTGAAGGAAGGAATGAATGAATGAATGAATGAGTAAATAAGTAATAAAAGTTGTCCAAGTGCTATATTAGCAGTGAGACGGGTTTTCTCCTTACAGAGGCAGCATGCCGAACGTGACTGAGCAGCCCCTCATTTCTGCCGGAGAAAACAGAGTGCAGGTTCTGAAAAATGTGCCATTTAACATTGTCCTTCCCCACGGCAACCAACTGGGCATCGATAAGAGAGGCCATCTGACCGTTCCGGACACAACCGTCACCGTCTCCATAGCGACGATGCCGACCCACTCCATCAAGACAGAAACGCAGCCGCACGGCTTTGCTGTGGGGGTCCCTCCGGCGGTGTACCACCCCGAGCCCGCTGAGCGGGTGCTGGTTTTCGACCGGAACCTCAGCACCGACCAGTTCAGCTCTGCGGCTCAGCCCCCAAACGCTCAGAGGCGAACGCCAGACTCCACTTTCTCAGAGACCTTCAAGGAGGGCGTGCAGGAGGTACGCATCTTCCTGAGGTGGCCCCGTGTTTGTCTGAGTATCGGGTTCCACCTCTTCCTTGTTATGTAAGCCTGAAACTCAGCCTGAAGTGCATGGATTAGGGACAAAAGTGGTGGTGTGTTTTTTTTTTAAAGAGAAAAGGACCCTGACTGTAATTTGTAAACTAAACCTATAAAACCAGGCATTATCATCAGGGGCACATGGCTAATCTTACCAGCAGCTGAGTTAACGATTATGATTTCAGCTACGTGATTTGCTGGAGAAGGAGAAAGAGAAACCCCACACGCGGTTTTTCATCCACAACAGAGAGATCCTTAGTGTGTTTTCGGCTTTTGTCCTAGACCAGAACCAGCTCCCTGCAACTGGTCTTCGTGTAAAATGGGTTCTCGTGTATTTATTTGGTGGCTGCTGGGTTGGTAGTCTTGTCAGGGAGGTAGGTGGATCTCGATGGCAAGTGTGTTGTGTGAAATTTACAAATGAACTGCAAATGCTTCTGAGGGTTGAGGGTGATGAACATCGCGCTCAGGTAAAAGTTAGGCCCTGAGGGTGTTTGAAACTGTATTTAACGGTGGGGCAGGGAGTGGGGGCGGGGGTGCCTCTGCTCGTGGAGAGGGGAGTGGAGGAGTAACACTCCTGAGAAAGTCCCCCAGCCTGTGTGAACTTGATGCCCTGTCTGAACTTGGTGCCACGCTGGCGCTGACGCCTAAGGGTCCTGAGACATTGGTTGCAGGTTCTTGAATTTGAACAGAACTAGGATGTGTGGGGAAGGTGGGAGGGGAATCAGTGGAACACTGTGGGTTACTTACATCGATGGTTTTAACTTAATTGGAGGGCATATAAAGTGGATACAGTAATCTTTAATTTTTTCTCTTAAATTTTCATAGAGGTAAGACTTTGATTTTCAAGCAAATGTTGAACGAGCAGTGGGTTGCTGTAAGCCACGGGCTTTTACGCTGTCCCAGATGCTGGCCTCCGGGCCGCCTGGCACCGGGGTAAGAGCTGTGGCTCATCACCTTGATATTTCAGGTTTTCTTCCCCTCGGACCTCAGCCTGCGGATGCCTGGCATGAACTCAGAGGACTATGTTTTTGACAGTGTTTCTGGGTAATAGTTGTCTTTTCATTTGGTTTTTAACTTTCAGCTTTTGTGACATTTCCTTTTTGATCATCTGATCTTGGAAAATCAGAGGTGGCTTTCGCGGGCTTTCTCCTGTGCTCACTGCAGTTCCCGGGGCAGTAATGCCTTTCTCTGCTGAGGACGGTGCTTCGCACTTTCCGTGGGAGCCGCGGGCTGCGGCCATGCCCCTCCTTCTCGGTGTCGGTGTCGTGCTTCTCCTCCCTGGGTGTCCTCTGTGATGGTGGTCATGGTCGGTGGAGCTGAGAGGAGAGGGAGGGCGTCAGGTAGAGCTGAGGTGCCAGATCTGCTTCCAGAGGCATCATTCGTGAGGATTTAGGAATGACACCAGGTGGCTAGCGGCTTCCACTTTTTAATGAGCCTCACTCAGGATAATGTAAATAAGCCAGCTTTTTCCTGACCTGATGACCTCTTTTAATCTCATCACCAGGCATCTCACACTCGGAATATGGGTATTTCCCAAGTTAGTTATGAACATATATCAACACCTTCGGATCTTTCTGAAAGAGTTTAAGATTTCATTTTATAATTTTGCTTCATATATTTTTTGTGTGTATATGTTTTGATGTTAAAAATTTTGTATTTAAAAGTCGAGGATTTAAAGAAAATATTAAAGTCTAAGATTTGATGGGAATTGAGACTTCCCGTAGAGGCCTGCCTCAAGGGGCAGGAATCAGACTCACATGCCTCCAGGGTCCAGGCCAGGGGTGGGCCGTCTGCGGGATCAGATAGCGAGCGCTCCAGGCTCTCCCTCCGTGCGGCCATGTCGCAAGGCCCGGCTCTGCTGCCGCAGCACAAAAGCAGCTGCCGATGACTCGAACCCGAGGGCGTGGCTGTCTTCCATCCATTTTACCTCTTACTTACAAAAACAGGTTTACTGTATTCATAAAAACGGGTGTGATTTGCCAACCGCAGACCTAGACAGGTGATGAGACAACTGCAGGGGGCCCTAGGGATGGCGCCCGAAGGTAACAGGAAATGCAGGGCACGTGGAGTGCCCGTCCGAGGGCCTTTAATGGCACAAGAACAGCCAGAAAGTGCTGTGCAGAGCGAAGCGAATGCGGTCGGGGCGCTGCCGGCCACCTGCTGGCGTCTCTGCTGGTGACGACCAGCCTGGCGGCCTGTCCCGCAAGGCTTCCTTCCAGTCCTTTTCACGTATGAGCGTCTGGAATATTCTCCGCCTCCCAGCTTCCCCCTGTGAGCATCACTCTGGCATTTCCACAGGCCCCTGTGGTCCCCCATGGGAGACACTTGAGGCTTTCTTGTGGCTCAGATTAGATTTACCAGGGAAAAGCGGCCACTGCTCTGGGTCAGAGGCCGTGGTCAGTTGGCCGTGTCCAGGGGGCCTGCTGTTTCCCACATCCGCCCGCAGCGCTTCGAGGCTGAGCTAAAGCACGGGGGGCACGTCTGAGGGAGCGGTCCGAGACCTGCGGCTTTCTCTGCTCAGGAACAACTTCGAGTACACGCTGGAAGCCTCCAAATCGCTTCGCCAGAAGCCGGGAGACAGCACCATGACCTACCTGAACAAAGGCCAGTTCTACCCCGTCACCCTGAAGGAAGTGAGCAGCAACGAGGGGATCCACCACCCCATCAGCAAAGTGCGGGTGAGTCCGGGGCAAGCTCTCGGCGCTCACCATTGCCAGGTCTGGGGCGGGTCCAGCTCTCAATCACACACCCCCCCTCGCCTTCCGTTAAAATGCCTTCTCTCTCCTAGAGTGTGATCATGGTGGTGTTTGCGGAGGACAAGAGCCGGGAGGATCAGCTGCGGCACTGGAAGTACTGGCACTCGCGGCAGCACACGGCCAAACAAAGGTGCATTGACATCGGTACGTAGCTCGGAGCCGCAGCCAGCGCTCCCGTCCAGTTATTGTTGGCGGCGATCAGCTTCCTGCCGAAAGCATTTGAATGTGTGTGCCAGCGGCTGACCTGTTCCAGAACTGTCCTCGGCCTCCTGGAATCTGCTCTTCACGTGGCTTCCTTCTCGGGGACCTGTGTCCCTGCCGCTTTCCGTGTGGCTCCGGGCCAAGCGCTGCAGAGCCGCTCACACGGGGTGTCCGCTTTCGATCTGCAGGTTTCCGGAAGGGCGCTGCCTGACGGATTCTGACCATCTGGAGTGATAGTGAGGGAGAGGGAAAAGCAGTCACCACGCGCAAGACCATGCTGCTGGCGGGCCGCTCCCTGGCAGGCTCCCCTCCTGCACGCTGGGCTCCTGTGTGTGCACAGACCCAGAGAGGCCTCTCCGGGCCGAGCAGCGGCGCCACGTCCATCGTGCAGTCGCTTTGCGAAAACCCCATTCCTGCCGTGTCACCTTTTCCTGTAGCACTATTGTCGTATGACGGCCCCTCCCCTTAGCATCACTCCTGTCCTCCACCTCTTGTGATGATCGTGGTCTCTCTCAAAGGAATTGGAAGAACTGCGTCCTCCCCTTGGCTCTCTGGAGTCGTGTTGTGACCTCGGACAGCGGTTCACCCGTTTGCAGGCCTGTCTGGCCTCCTTTACATAACGAGATGCCATTAGAGACACCTAAGCTGCCTCTGTTGCAGAGATTGTTTTTCTTTGTGTTTTAAACTTCTTTCAGCTCAACCAAGTGTTAATTTAAGGTGCCCAGGGGTGACCACGGGAAACACTGCTGTCACTGTGACCTGCGATCATGTCCCGTTGGACTGAGAAGTCACAGCTGCCTTTTCTGTTTGTCCCTCGTAGCCGACTACAAAGAAAGCTTCAACACCATCAGCAACATCGAGGAGATCGCGTATAACGCCATTTCTTTCACCTGGGACATCAACGACGAGGCAAAGGTAGGCCGTGCAGCCCGGATGGTGCCGCCGCCCTGAGGGTGGGGTTGGAGGGGCTTAATGACCTGACAACTGACGTTCTCACGGTTCTGCGTGTTTTTGTTTCTTTTTAAAAAATATATTGGTTTTTAGAGAAAGAGAGAGAAACATCGATGGGTTGTTCCACTTATTTATGCATTTATGGGTTGATTCTCGTAAGTGCCCCAACCAGGGATCGAACCTGCAGCCTTGGCCGATCGGGATGATGCTCCAACCAGCTGAGCCACCTGGCCAGGGCCCGCATGTGTTCATGTCTTTGCTGAGGAATCGGGAGACCAGCTCGGCCAAGAGGACAGATGGAGCCGTGGGGTGAAGCGCACGGAAACGGGGCGGCCTGGGGAGAAGAGCAGCTGTTCCTGCGCAGCCTGTGCGTCCTGCCCGGACCGGCGCCCGCTGGGTCCCATTTTCTCTCACGATTTCACGTTTTCTGGAAGTACAGCTCTTTCCCAGATGCTGTGGAACTACCTTCTCCCTTTTCTATCTTCTCCTTCCTCCGAACCAGTTTGTCAACCCACTTCCCAGGAGTGCGGTGTGTGCGCCACCAGAGCGGGGCCAGCGCAGAGATGGGGGGCTGCCTCCTGCGGGCGGCCTGCGACCGCCTCCCCTTCGCTGCGCTGCGTTCCCTCGTTTGCCAGCGGACGGCTTGCATCTCCTCCCTCCTCCGAGGCCGGGCGGGTTGCGGGCCGAGGCCGAGGCTGGGGCTGGCGGTGCGTCTTCAGAAAGGCCCCTGGTACACGTGTCGGTGGCAGTGGTGGGTCCCTTGTCACCTTTGAAGACCGTCGTTGAAGAGTCACTTAAGCGTCATCATAGGCTTTTACACGTGAAGGGGCGCCCCCCGTTCAGAGGGTCATGTGGATAATGCGAATTTTTAGTGCCTTTTAAGAAAAAGTCAGCATATTCTTAGGTCATTTCTGCCTTTCCTTGCCGTAGGAATTCCTCTCTTCACTGAATGATTAGAGTTCTGGTATTTATTTCATTCATTTAAGTACATTGTATTAGATGCTAAACTACTGCAGAGTTTTACTTTTCACTGTCTAGGGTTTCTTCTAAAAAATCGCACGGCTGGATTCGAGAACCTCGTGAAGTTGTGAGTAATCGCCTTCCTCCCTTCCTGTGGCGTCGGTTGAAGGCAGATGTGTCTTTAAGACTGCGGATGTGACCAGTCGCTGCTGGGACCACCTCGGTCCTGCACACGCGTCCTCAGGCTGCTCAGTCCAAAGCCCTGTGCTTGGTTAGGCGTTGAATTCACTGCAGAGGAGCTGTGAGGGGGAAGAGTAAACTTTCCATCTCCTATAATTGTTGAAATCATTTTGAAATTAAATATAATAGGCTCCTAACAGCCTTTAAGAGAAGGGCTGGCCCAGGGCCCTCCGGGAACTTCTGTTCTTACCGAAGAAAACGCTGAGAAGCTGGAGGAGCTGAGGAAGCACGCCGGTCCGAGGTCACGGTTCGGACTTGTGACCTTGCAGTCAAATGCTCTACCACTGAGCTGTACCCCCGACTTGTAACCTTGAGTTAGTCCTCTGGTCCACCAGCTTCCTTTCCTCCCCTTTGGCCCAGGAAAGTAAGGGGGCTCGGGGGCCGCTCCCGTCCCGTCCCATGGAAGGTGGTGGGACTGACCCACTTGTCAGTGCGCCGGCGCTGGGTGGGTGCTGTTGGTTGGCTGTGTCACTCCGGGAGGAGGCAGGAAAGCTGGTGACAGGTGGGGATAATGGCTCCTTTTGTTTGGAAGCCTTCCTGTTTGTACTGAAGGGAGACACTGTTGGAGGCGGGCCCTCAGTGGCCTTAATCACATTGTTAATTGGCGTAGCCAACCTCGGCTCCATTTCCCGTGCAGACCCCCAGCGCTGACTGACAGGGAGGGGAGGTGCCGTTTCTTAATGAGGCCGCTGCCGTTTGAAGCTGGTGTCAGGCATGCCTGTCAGGGAGGCCTGGGTTTCTGGCTAGGCTGCTGTTTTCTGTTTTTACACTTAAAGTAATTGGTGCCTTAGGGCAGTCGAGGGCGCACATGGACGTGCAGAATCCTGTAGGTTGTTTTTACTTCTTTTTCTGAAAGTGTCCGCTCTCTTGTTCTAATTTAGGATCCGCGTGTTGATTCTCAACTCCAGGTTAGCCTCCCCCCACAAACAGGAGGGTGTATTGGAGATGGTGGCGTTCCCCCTCCCCCTCCCATGGCTATTTAAAGGGAACTGAGGATGAGTAAAACCAGAATCCTGGTCCCGCGGTGACACGGTCCCCCCTGCCGCTTCTGCTCACGATGGGTTGAGTCTTGAACCCTGGGCTTCTGTTCTGATTTGGGGAAAGTGCTCTCAAGGCTAGACTCCTACTGCCCCTGTACACCCCCATCAACGTAATCAGACCTCCGTTACCATGGAAACCTGAAGCACGGGCCGTGTAAAACATCGCTCGTTTTCAGGGTGCTGGTGAGGAGGACGTTGAGAAAGGCGGAAGTATTTTGGAAACAGTCCCCAGGAGCACTGACTGCTCCACACAGAGTTGGTTTGTTTGGTCATCGGGCATCTCCTGAAGAGTCAGACACCTCTGGACGAGTTGCCGGTGGTCAGACCCTCGCATTTCATTGTGAAGTGACTTAATCGGTGTCGGCCTCCTGTGTGTGCGGAGCGATCAGCTGCTGGAGGGGAGCTGGGCAGGAAGCAGCAGCTCCCTTTGAGACAGTGAAAGATGGCGCTCCGGTGCCCTGTAAGGGAGGAGGGGCTGCATGAAGGAGGCTGGGGGGAAGCTAAGCCTCCACGGGACTCCCGTAGAGCTCTCCCCAGAGCCCGCTGTGCACCTGCCCCGTGGGCAGGAACGCAGAGCCTCGTCCAGCAGGTCCCTGAGTGCCTGCTCTGTCCAAGCATGGTGGCAGGTCCCGGCGGAAACACTGGCTCTGTGTGCAGTGTATGTGGTTAAACAAGCTTTTGTGGGCTAGCCTGAGACCCTCAATGCAACATCCTGACTTCTAAGGAAAGTGAGCTTCTGTACCACGTTACAAATGCACGTCGGAGACACATAATTTATAAATCGGCTTCTTTGTTCTGCTCATTGTGGTCGTTCCAAAACCAAGTGAGAAATTCAGGAAAGGCCGCAGCTCTGGGCTGGGGATTTAACCCTGAGTTCATAACAGGGTTGAGGTTTGGTTAGCGAAGTGCCTCCCCAAAGCCTCGGGATCTGAAATAAATAGAGGAGCCCGGCCGGCGTGGCTCAGGGGCTGAGTGTTGACCTATGAACCAGGAGGTCACGATTCGATTCCTGGTCAGGGCACATGCCCAGGTTGCAGGTTCGATCCCCAGTATGAGGCGTGCAGGAGGCAGCCGGTCAATGATTCTCTTTCATCCATGTTTTTCTCTCTCTCCCTCTCCCTTCTTCTTTGAAATCAATAAAAATAGAATTTAAGCTAAATAGAGGAAAAAACAGTTACTGAGAGAGCACGAACTCCTTTGGCTGGCTGTTTCACTCGGGCGCTGTGGTGGGCACCTCATCTGTGCTCACACTTAGAGGCAGTCCCCCTACTCAGCGCCCACAGAAGCGCTCGGGTCTGCAGGTGGGAGCGTGTCGCCGCGTGGTCATTGGAATGCGGCCACCCGGCGAGGCGGGGCCTGGGCCTCGCATGGACGGACAGTGCCCAGCGGAGCAGCCCGAGAGGCGCAGGGAAGCCCTCGGGGAGAGCACCTGCTACGAGAAGGCGCATTCCGTGGTGGTGGATGAGTGTCGTTCAGCCACGGAGTGGGAATTAGAGACCAAAGCACAGGTGTGTGGAATCAAGTGAGAACTGGCAGCCACATTGGAGGGAGCCTGTCCCCCTCCCCCCGGGCGGCACTGGCCGGGAGTGGGGTGGGAACAAGCCTGATCTCCGTTCACCAGCTGGGCGGCCGACAGGGAAGCCACCGCCGCTCACAGCAGAGCTCAGTCTCTCTCTGGTCCACGGGCAGCATGACCTCCACGAGGATTAAGCAGACCTTTTATTTTTTATTGATTTTTTACAGAGAGGAAGGAAGAGGGATAGAGAGTTAGAAACATCAATGAGAGAGAAACATGGATCAGCTGCCTTAGGGGGTGTGCCCTCAACCAAGGTACATGCCCTTGACCAGAATCGAACCCGGGACCCTTCAGTCCACAGGCCGATGCTCTATCCACTGAGCCAAACCGGTTACGGCTAAGCAGACCTCTTAAAGATGTGCTGACCCTAGGGTATAACTACCCCATGGCTTCCCCATAGAGACGGCTAGAACGCTGACCACTGCACTGCCCAGTGCCATCCACACAGCTCGTTCACACATTAAAGCGAGCTAGATGGGGTCTCATTCTGGCTCCCTGTGCGCTGCCTCCAGGCTGAGAGGAACCTGCGGGGCAGGCTTCTCCGAAGCCTGAGAGGAGCCGCTTGCTCTCTGTCCCCACAGCCCTCAGCAGGGAGATGCGATGATGGTGATCCCCTCGGAGACAGGTGGCCCTGCGTCCCTTCCTGGGGGCGTGCTCTTCTCCCGGGGCTGACAGCCGCTCCCACACGCTGTGTGTCCAGCTTTTGGCTTTTCGCTTTTCGCCTTCAGCCTGGTGCTTGGCCCCTGGCGAGGGGGAGGGGCAGGCAGAGATGCGGCCAAACCAGAGGTCTGTCCCCAGAGGGCCAGCCGGGCAGAGCACTCTCCTCCCCTTTCCTCTGCTGTCAGCTCGAAGGCTGGTCCCCTGAGCCCCGTGTCTACGTGTAGCCTTGAGGCGCTTGTTTCAGAAGAAAAGGTTAGAACAGAGTGCAGAGCCTCTGGGGCCCAGAAGCCTCGCCACTGGCAGGTGGTGTCTGGATGGAGCCTTCGCCTCCTTGTCACAGGGAGGCACAGGACTGTCACTGAGGGGTGGGTCTGAGGGCTCCCGGGCGCCCAGGGCTCATTCAGGCGGGGCGGGCCCCCCCCCCCCTGCGACTGGAGCTGAAGACTCCGTGCGTGGGAGGCAGGTGTACTTGTTGAATAGAGTTTGCT